TGGGGGGGGGGCATGCTGGCTATCAGAACTTTGGAACCAGTCCGTAAGAAGCTTTTTTGAACAAAATATTAATATTCCAATATATTAAAGAGAACCTTTTGAGGTGGTCCATCATAATTCCAATCTAAGCAACCAGTCATAAATTGAGGATTATCGGTACCCATGAAATCGAAAGCCCTAAATCAATTTTTCAGACAGACAGGTTATTTTGAAAAGGAAGCTTTCATTTTAAAGGTAATTATGTGATTAAACCACTTACAGGAGAGCTAAGGTGGGAATTTTGGCTCCAATCCCTATGGTTCTTCCGCCCCCAAAGATGATGTGGAATTAAAGGGTTGGCACTCGTGACGCTTGCTGGGATGTTGGGTGGCTGGATTTGGCCACTATATTTTGTTTACGGGCAAAGGGCCAAACAAGTTCAGGAGATGTCCTGCCCATCCAGAAGAGAGGTTAATCTTTCTATTTATCCCAACATGCTAAATGGTCTCTAAATTCCGCTTTTGAAGGCAGGGGGCACAGAAGACTCTGCAGTCTGGGAGAAAATCGCTGGAACCAGCAAACCCCGTGGGCATCAGGTCCCAAGCCTCAGAAGGGCACCTGCCAGCGGTACCTGGACAGAACACCTTATCGGGGTTCAGGCCTATGCAAGGAAATGTTGACTTAAAGAGCAAAGGTGGCTTTGATGGTATACCGGTACTTCTTCTTGGATAATTCTATTATTTATTCGTGAGAAAGCCACATCTTGGGAACAGAAGGTGCGACATGCAATGAGCATCGAAGTATCTAAATATGCAGCAGGCAGACATGCTACCGTTATTTTAAGATAAATGTTAAAAATATATTGTTTGCCATAGGAAACAGAAGTTACTTGCAACAATTAGAGGGAGAACTTAAAGGTAAATAATACATAAAAGGTCAGAGTAGTGAGGACTGAGGCAAAAGTTTGGAGCAAAGGAAGATTAGTTACCAAAAACAAACAAAAAAAACGCCCAACATAATTCTAACATACTTGCTATCTTTAACAGAACAGTTCAGGAAGAAAAATAAATGTATTATGATAATATTGACGATTATGGGATCAAATGACCTGAAAACCCTATGCAAATCTTACACTAAGATATAAACATTAATCTCATTTATAGCATATTTGTGTATAAAATAGTTCAAAAGGAGATTTGAAATTTGCTCTTTTTTACTTTAAAAAAAAAAAAAAATCAGTGCAATTTGGAACTTCAGCCTTGCAGCTGCCTTCCTAACACTACATTCGTGCGGGTAAAAATAGCTTTGCCTTGTTTATGGAGGAAATTCAGCCACAGAAAGCAAGGAAAGCAGAACTGCGACCAGCAGCGGTTCTTGAATCTTTTTCCACAGAAAAGATGCTATTTTGTGAAAGGTCAGTGATTCAAGTTGTCTCTATTTCTGAGGCCTCTTCTATGAAATTTGCCACGGGGCTGAGAAGCAGAAGAGGGAAGAGTTTATATTCGCCGTTCATGTCTTCTGAGAGAAGAGGCTGATCCAGGGCTCCGTCCATTTGGCCCTCTGGGCCGGTGACTCGCTGCGCTGCTTCGTTGCTCTCCACGGGACCCAGCAGATGCCGTCTGGCGTTCTCCAGGCGGACGTCTTCCTCACTGGAAGGCGGTTCTTCAAACAGGGAAAGCAAAGGGTTCCCCCGATACTGAATCAGCTGCATGTCTGGGGGTGGAAGAGAATAGCTAGTTAATGAATAGTTACTAGCTAAGCTAAATGCTCATGCCGGCCTGTGGAGTCCTGGGAAGAAGCAGCCCCCCGCCCCCGCCCCCGCCGCGCAGAGAAGACCCCGGAGGAGGGAAGGTCTGCCGCCTGAGTCACACGACAGGCTGCCCCAAGGAGGAAACACAAGGCCACTCAGGCCTGCCTGTTGCTCTTAGAGAAGAACCAACAGAAGCCGCCAGCCGGTTACAGGAGCCGCAATAAACAGACTTCACCTTCCGTATCTGACTTCTTGCCTGAACCAGCCACAGTTACTTCCAAGGCTATCGTGACTATTCCTTCAATGTACTGTTATTTTACCACAAAAGTCAATTTACCAGAACTGCAATCGATTAAAAAATAAATAAATTAGCAGCTGACTCAGCACTGACCCTCTTCCAAAGAGAAGGCCAAAGTCTAGAAACAGGAAGTTAGCAAAAGGAATGCTGTCACCACCACCAGGACTGAGGGCGGGGTAAGGAAATCAAAAACTTTGCCCCCCACCAAAAAAAAAAAAAACCCAACAACACCCTGGCAACTTCAACCTCACTGCTGGAGCTCCCATCTTGTCTCTGAAAAGTATTTCCTGTGAAATTCCCTCCTCTGGTGACAGTCCCCTCGATTTCCAGCCCCAGAGAAGAGGCCTCAGACTCAGGTGCATGAAGCATTTCAGGGAAAGGTCAAAAACCCAAACAGAGCTGATGGGGGGGTGGTGGTGGTCCTGCATGGTCCACTCACGCCGAGTTGCCTTTAAAAATAGGATTGCACTTCGGAAAGGAAAGTCCCAACCTTCCACTGGACAAGGTCCGATTCCTCTTTTCCTCTCTCTGCTCTCCAAATGTTGCGTAAGAAGCACAAAAAGACTCAACCCCTTATAACCCAAAGAAAACTTCGAACTAGAACAAGAGGCCAAGAATAAAGTTTTGCACGGGGAAAGCGCGGGTGCTCGGGGATGTTTCCCTCTGGCAGTGCATGAAACCCAGTGAGCCAGGGGCAGATTTGGGCACATGTGGGACGGCTCTTCCCGACCGGATGCTCTTAAATGGACCGGAGTCTGACATTTTGAATTCCTAGCCCCTTTGAACCGCGTGGGCTCATAATTATGGAAGGTGATGTCCAAGTCCTTCCACCAACTCCCATGGAACAGTTGTTATAAGCCACACAGGACCTGAAAGGGAACGGATCCACCCCGGTTAGCTTCTCCACACTGATTTGGTAAGACAAGTCTCAATGTCTTGTCCTTCTCACCGTTCTTCCCTGAGGTTTCCTCATTCTTTATCCCATCTGCGTCTAAGTTTGCTGGTAAGGCTTCTGTCTAAAAAAAGAGAAACAAATGCACAGAAAAATATTTATCAGAATATTTGCTTCAAATGCTACAGTACCTTTTTTAAAACGCCAAGACGAGAGAGCCAACTGCATTTTCTCATTGGTTTAATTGTGTCTCCTGTCTTCCCTTTAATCAGCTCATCACTCTGGCTATAACAGCCCAGCCAGGACTTTGCCTCCCCAGCTTCAGTTGGTAACACTCAACTTAAACCATCGTTGCTTCCCACAAGTGCCCTGGCTGACAGCACATCTTGGTGTTTGCTTTTTATCTGTTCTACAGCTGGTCAACAGAAATATTTAGAAATGCTTGTTTTCGTATTTCTGCTGCAATTGAGTGCTGTAATTATTTTTTTTAAAAAAATAAGGATATAAGTATAAAAATAATTCTAGTAAACTATACTTTTATGGGCATCACACAAAAGAATGAACACTGCAAGCACCTGACAGCTTACGTTTCATTTCAGGACTCTCTACTGAAACATAGCAACTTGGCCAGCCACAGCGTCTCTCCAGGAAGCCTGGACAGGCTGCCTGCAGAGCACAAACTCTGGAAACAGAGGGAGCCCTGCCTCAGCCTTCTACACTCCTTTGGAAGCCAAAGGCCCCTCGTCCCACTCCCATTTCCTCCTAGGAGACCTGTGTGCTGCAGAGGTCCAACACAGTTCTCCTGAGCGCCACTTACAAAGTCCAGGTCGTTGGTGGAAGCCATCAGAGTTTTACTCCAATTAGCAGAATCCAAACCATCCTGAAAAAGGAGCTCATTTGAAAAGAAAAATGAATGGGTTTTCTTCTAAGAACTCAGCCGACAAAAAAATTTAGATTTGGCACAAGTCTCTTTATCACAATATCATTGAAAACTGCTTAACCTGAACCTTTTTATTGGGGATGCTAATAAAATGCTACGTTCTGATCATAAGAGTACAACAGTCTTGCAGAACACAGAATTAGAGCTGAACAGCCTAAGAAAAGGCTTATCTGCCCGAGTCCAAGCCTTCAACTACCCAAATGTTGTCAGGGCCTTGGAAAACGCCTCTAATAAACAGAGAAGAGAAACACCAGTGATTAAACCCCCACCAAGCCAGGCAGAGTCCCGACAAAACGATCTTCTGCTTTCAAACGGGCTTCTTTGGTGAAAAACTAATGGCAGAATCACTCCTGAGCCCTCAATGGCCTGACGTAAACCGAGCACCACCACATCAACCACTAGCACAAGCGGGCCCTACAAGCCCCTGAAGAGCATCCACCCAGAACAGGCCTCGATTCTAATCCGTGAGGAACCTGAGCTGCATACAGGGCTGGCTCTATGGCTTCCGAAGGAAAGAGGTGGGAAAGAGAGTGGGGACACGGCCGGGGAATCCATGCCGTGGGCTGGAACCGACAGGGAAAAACTCGCTTTGAATGTTCATTCCTCTGGCTTCCTGAAAAGAAGGACAGAACTAGCATTCCAAAGCCTCCGTGGGAATGACGGAAGCTCGCCTATCCGAACAGCGCCACGCTGGAAAAGCTTAAAGCAACCTTTTCAGAAGCTCAGCCAGGAATATCGATAGCACAAACGCCCATTTGGGAGGCTGGTTCACTCATTCAATCTATTTCCTGCCCGTCTCTCTGGGCGAGTTACAACACTAAAGTTGCTTTTCGCTGAACTCGGTGCCTGAAAGGAGCAAAGACTGACCACCGGCAGCCCATTCCTCAGTCTCTCTACAGGTCTGTGGTCTGAAGAAAGGGACTGTGGGCAGCTGGACTTTTGATGCCCTCCAGGACAGGGATGGCAGCCAAAAGAAAGTCCTGGTGGGCATCCTTCCCCCCCCCGCCCCCCCCATGCAGAAGTCAGATCGGGGAGCCCATTTAACAGGGAACAATCAAGCCACGGATTTGCCCCGTAGCTTTATTTTATGACTGACTGGGGTTTTGTTTTTTTTTCTCATTAACAAAAAAAAGAACAAGGAAGGAGAAGAAAGAGGAAAACCTCCCCAAAACCTTCAGCAACCCTTCAGTACCCACCTTTATTCTTTATCCACTGGACAGGTTCTTAAACTGACTTAAAATAGTTCACAAATCAGGTTTATACCAAATATGCAAACCAGTTTGAAATGGTTCGATTATTGTGATCTGCTGAAAGTTCCTATGAAAAGAGGTATAATGACGCTAAAAAAGCTAACCTTGGGGGTTAGCTTTTCTCTTGCTCTCTTTCTCTACTACTGCGTTCACCTGGCAAAGGTATTCCTGAAATTCCACTGTTCAGGGTCCAGCGTTTTCTAAGCAGCTTTGCTGATCCGAAAGAAACACACGCTGGTACCGTCTTCCAAGAGTGCCCCCACCTTCCCACTTCCCCAATTCACCGCGCCCCTCCCTCCCAGGAGCCAAGGAAGACCCACTATCTACCTGTTCCAATCTGAGAGGAGCTTCTGGTATGCTTGAATCCAACACAGGAAGCTCAGGACTGAAGGTCTGGAGGCAGAAAGGAAGGCAATCTGATTTGTTTGATTTGATTAGAAACCATTTAAAACAACAAAAATATGACAAGGGCCTCTCCTGAGACCAATCAAAGGCTTAAACTTAGGGGAAAAAAATTAAATTAAGCTTCCTTCAGGTTAGCCAAAGTGCTGTCACTGCTCTGAGACTAAAGATGATGTTAGCAGATGCGTGAAATGGCATATAAATATAAAAAATAAATAAACAGAATCATAAAAAGGGAACCTGGAGGTCTTCTGCTACAAACTCCACCCCCCCCAACCGCCCCCCACAAGCCAGGAATCACAGGACCAGCCCAAACAAACAGCTGTGCAACCTCTGCTTGAGATTGTCCACTGGCAGAGCCCTCACCACTCCACACTGCTCAACCGCTGCCATGATCAGGACGAATCTCATGCTTTGAAGTTTGGACCTCCTCTGTAAAGCTCCTGGTTCTTCTCCTACTCTTGGGCCCGACGGAGAGCAAATCCACCTGGACTCCTCTTTCTTAGGGGCATTCCTCTTCCCCGAATCTGACTCGCCCTGAAGGGAGTTAACCTAGTTATTGGGTGTGTGTGTGTGTGTGTGTGTGTGTGTGTGTGTGTGAGGTTAGACTGCCCTTATCCTTGTGAGGCCTCATCCAGGTGGTCTCTGAGGAGAGGGGAAGGGAACCTCATCCCTTCCTCTCCTCACCTCACCCTCCCTTAAGGGTTCAGTTCCCTTAAGGACGCCCCAAACTGCTTTAGACACACAGGGGAACAGGGTAACTAGTCCAGTCCTGATTCAGAGGGGTTGTGGCAAGTTATGGCCTCTGAGGTCAGGGGAGAAGCACAAGGTCTGAACTTGGTAGAGAAGCGCAGGTAGAGAAGCCACGTGCTTGGTCCCGAGGGCTCAGCAGGCACAGAGCTGGCCGTATTCTGCTGGGAGAAGGCAGCAAGGAGGCAGAAGGGCACCGGGTGTGTGTGTGTGTGTGTGTGTGTGTGCTGAAGGCTGGCTCCCTAGGTCAGCCCCAGGTGTCAGAGAAATTCTCCAAGCACCCTTGACAGAAAGTTGGGTGTCTTCCCAAGACCCCCCCATTTGCTGTCAGGGGCGCTTGGAGAATTTCCTGATCCTAAAGGGGAGGGAAAGAAAGAGAAGGCAGAGAAGGGAGAGAGAGCAGCAACCGGGGAGACCCCCCCACCCCTTTCTGGGGCAAGGCAGGGCCACAGCTGGGAGGGGAGCATTTCCCCACATTAGAACATTGGCAAACTCTAAGGATGCCCCTCCCACACCGTAAGAAAGGAGATTTTCTTCCCTAGGCAATGGGAGAGACGGGCCACAGCCCAGCTAAGGAATCAGCACAGGAGAGTGGACTCACATCCGTCAGTGCTTCCGGAGCGTGGTGGGTTTTCTTCCCGGAGAGCATTGCCTGAAGCTCCTCAAGACTTGCGTCGATACAGTTCAAGAAGTCTTGGATCTCTTCTCTGCAGAGGGAAGCAGGGAAATATAAATGGAACAGAGGAAGAGGCCGAAGGGAGAAGGTGCCCTTTGGGCTACATTCCAAGAAGAAACTCAGAAGGGCCAACTGGATCGGGGGGCGGGGGGGGGGTAGCAGGCGGCCTTTAGTTTACTAGATTAGTTGGCCTATCGGAAGAACCGCTCTATAGAGGGTGCGCCTCGTCTTAGCTTGGCGCACCTGGAGGAGGAGGATACTCATGTGCGAATGCTGTTCGTTGATTTTAGCTCAACACAATCATTCCTCAGCTTCTGGTGAATAAACTGGGCCTGTCAGGTTTTAACACTCCTTTGTGTAAGTGGACTCATCCTGATTTCCTTATTGATAGGCCCCAGTTTGTGCGAGTTGGACGTTTCCAACTCCGTCTCCTTGAGTTCCCCACAGGGCTGTGTCTGGACTCGGCTACTGTCCACCTTGATGACCCACGACTGCTGTGACAAATCTGCTACGAACCATATTGTGAAGTGTGTGGATGGCACGGCAGTGGTGGGGCTTATCCAGGGCGACAATGAAGATGCTTAATAGGGAAGAGGTGAAGGCTGTGATGGATTGGTACAATAAAAGTTACCTGGTTCTAAATGTTAATAAAGCAAGGGAGATCACTGTAGATTTTAGAAAGAGCGCATAGTCATACTCCACTCAGTTGCAAGGCTGCAGCTGTAGAGGTGGTGAACAGTATTAAAGGGTATCTGGGGGTGCAGGTAGCAAACAGTCTGAACTGGTCTCTCCACACGTCATCCTTAGTGAAGCATTTGCAAACTGGCACCTGCATTTCCTGCGTCGGATGAGGAGAGCACATCTCTCTCCTTCTGTCCTGGCCACTTTTTACAGAGGCACGATCGACAGCATTTGAACAAACTGCATCACCGTTTGGTTTAGTGGCAGCAGAGCCTCAGATAGAAAGTCCATACAGAGAGTGGTGAGGACAACCGAGATTATAGGAAGCTCGCTTCCTGTTATTCAGGATACTGCTTATAAGCGCTATGAGCTTACAGCTCAAAGCATTGTTAGAGACCCTGCACACCCACTTCACGGGCTGTTTATGTTGCTGCCCTCTGGGAGGTGGTTTCTAAGTATTTGTGGCAGAACTACCAGACTCTGGAACAGCTTTGTTCCCTAGGCCATTCATCTGGTAAACTCACAAGATTAGTTTCTCACGCCATATACATGTATACATCCGGATTAGACTGTGTTGTATTTGTATCATAGAATATATGTAGGTATATGCATGTTTGTATTTATTCATTCATTCATTCATTCATTCATTCATTCATTCATTCATTCATTCATTCATTCATTCATGTTTATGTAGTATATACTGAGGTGGTGACCCTTTGAAAGGTGTATGCAACGAAATTTCATTTTAATGTATACTGATTAGCGTACGTTTAAAGCGACAAAATTATTCTATTCTATCCTCTATTCTTTATTCCTATTTGTTTTCTAATTCTATGCTATGCTATGCTATCCTATCCTATTTCTATTCTACTGGATACAGGATGGGAAGCGAGGGTTCCTTTCATAGCAGTTTACACTGGAGAAATAAGGAGGAAGAATCCAGCAAGGAATTTACAGTTGCTGCTCAAGAGAAATACTCAGAAGTCTTTTCCCTTCCAAAGGGACACTGAAGAATGAGGGAGACAACAGCTCCAGAAACAAAGGGAAAAAACAAGCGTTTCATTAATAAACAATAATAATAATAATAAATTGGGGGAGGCTGCTGTCTGATGCCAGGCAGGTCCTTGTCAAGGGTGGCAAGGAACAGGCTAACCTCCCCCGATGCCATGGTTCTTTGGCAGGGGATAATCCTGCCAGGTGTTGCCTCTCTGAAAGCAGACGCACCTGTCAAGGAAAGAGTCACTTGATGCCATGGTTTGGTTTTCACTGATGATGGAATCGATCACGGCTGCGGCTTCTTCGTTGGCGCTGACTTGTGGAGTGTGCAACTCCATAGCACTGGACTGGAGGGGGCCATCCGTGAGCTGAACCGAACGGTCCCCTTGGGGCACTTCTGGCTCAGGGGTCTCTTGTGTTCCACAAGTGGGAATTCCTTCTCGGGTGGGCACAGGAGCCTTCCTGAAAACACACAACAGGCACAGACTGAACTTTCACTTTCTCCAAATGGTGCAGCAAAACACCTCCCACAGCACCCCAAAGTAGAGAGAACCCTATTTTTCCAACAGGAACCCCGCACTGCTGACATCTATCCATTTTAAAAGGGCGAAAAAATTCTCTAATCAAATCACAACATCCATACAGTTCTGCAGGGCTACAGAACTGGTTTTGCATCCTTTTCTAACAGCATGTTTATTCCCTCTCCCCGAGTCCCTAATGGTCTGGACTGATCTTGGAATCTAAGTAAGATCAGTCCTGGTTCATACTTGTCTGGAGACCCACATAGGGCACCTTTGCCTTAATTTTCCTTTAAAACAGAATCCAATGGACTTCTGGTGCAGACTTAGCCAGCACCGACACACACCCAGAGAATCTCTTCTCTCTGGACTGTCATTTTTCCAACTCAACAACAGAAGGAACAGGCTTGCTTTTGTTTATTTGACTCTCCTAGGATAAGGACAGTCTCAGAACCATCCCTCAAGATCCTCCGATAACAGCAACAGCCTGCAAAGTGCTTCCTAATAGCTGGTGAGTTGAAGCTGGGGGGAGGGGTTGAGATGACGTCGTTGTTCGATAAAACAGCCATTTTGGAATTTATTTTTTAAATGGACAGTAAGCTTTGCCCTTCATTTCTTAAATCATTTCATGACATTATTCTATTAGTTAAAAGAGGTTCTCTTTAGTTTCAGCCTATAACTTCTTTTTTAAGCTCTGAACACCATTTTTGAGTCCTCTTTATTGTTAAACCATAAGGAAGAGGGTTGTTAAGAGACGTCAAAAGAAGGAAGCACGGAATATTTTTTTCTCTTGAAATATAAAGATAAAATCTGTGGTTTGAATCTACTACTTTTAAAGTAATCTATAGGCCTAAGGGTTGAAATTTGCCAATTTTCATGAACTATGATTGGCTAGAAAAAGGAATAAATAACAAATTTTAAAAAAATCGAGCACCAGGGGGAGCTATGAAGAATCTGAGCGGGAGTCTTTAAAAAGTCTTTTAAAAAAGTCCATACAGAAAATTGCTCTTTTCACAAATAAGTTAGAAGATATTAATTATAGAGTGGATATTAAAAAAGAACAAGAGACACAATTAGGTGTAGAAAATTATCAACCCACTGTATCAACTCCACAAATGCCGGTCAATTCAAATAACCTAAGTGTGCCTTTGATATCTGATATCAACTTTTTTTTTTTTTTTACTATGGTGCTCCCAGTGCAACTGACACAAGAATGCCAAGTAAATTCACAACTCTCAAGAGGTCAAGTTCTTCTTCATGTATACTAACAAGATCGAGAATTCTTTGAGAAAAAAAGATACGATAGTCATCTAAGACAAGGAAACTTTAATCCACAAGGATTTGCTCCAGGTTAATTTACAACGTCTAACAGAACAACTTTTGGACGCTTTTTTTCATGCATATAAATAAAGCTGAGAACTTCTTGAAGGAAGAGACTGGACAGACTCCCCTGAGAAGAAAAGGACTTCATTCTGCGAAGATAAGCTGGAGGGAGTGACTTACATTTAATGACTTAGTTAGGAAGTTTGATATATGTATTGAAAGAAAGTTAGCTTTGTATGTATAAAATGAATTTGTAAATGTTATGTCCTCTTGTCTTTTTATGTAATGCTGAATAATTCCCAAAGTTTGTAAAATACTTTTTTAAAAATAAAAGAAGAAAAAGATTCATTCAATGAGGATAAACTCAAGGGAGAGATTTGGATTCAATGTGTGATATATATAATTGAATGAAAGCTTTAAAGTAGCATTGTGTTTTGGGTTTAAAATGAAGGGTTTTCTTCTGTTTTATATATAATATTGAGTACTTTTTAAACTTCATAAAATAACAAAACTAAAAAAAATGTTTTCTCCCTTTAGATTTAAAAAAATGAAATAATATAAATAATCATGAATGAGTTAACAGAAGTATATGTTACTCCTCACAGCAAAGAGAAGCAGATGGTCAAATTGATTCTTTTATCCAAAGAGGAGAATATATCTAACCTTGTTTTTATTCTGAAATTGTTTCCAGATTTTGTGCTTGCAATGAAAAAAAATATAAAACTTTGTTTTTGTTTTTGTTAACTAGATAGGCTTATTGTTGTAGAAATGGCTTGTACATACCATTGTGTAAAAACAAAAAGTTGTGGTTGTAATTTTTTTATCTTCTGTACTTAAAGAGTCAGAAGTTGGTGCCTTTTATCCCTTTTCTCCCTTTACACTATATTCATTTTATTTTCCCTCCTCCCTCCTCTTCTTAGTTTTCCACTACTTTTTAATTTTTCTTTGTATTTTATATTTTGATATAAAAATAAAACACCATATATAAAAAACTAGAATCCAATGCATATCACTCTACCCTTCACCCTGCGGCTGGATCTGGCCCAGGGGTCTTGAGTTTGGCACCCCTGTCAAAAAAGGAAGGTTTTAATTATGAAAACCCTGTTCCTTCTAAATCTATACACAACACTCTCAGCACCACATAAACCTGCATTTTACGAAGCTGGTATCTCCATTTTCATGGCACTGCCAAGAGTTTGGGGGCACCTTTGGGGACAGGCCCACAGCTATGGAACTGAATCCTATGTTCAAGATCTGAGCCCAGAAGAACTGGGAGAAGCTTTGGCTCTCCTGACAAACAGTAACTGGCAATGCTCAGCCTCAGTGGGGTTGATCTGGTTTCACACAGCCGCAAATGCTACACTCACAAACCTTCATCCTCTTAGTTGTACAAGCCCAGCGTCAAAAAGCCAGGCACATCTACTTTTTAAGATAAACTCCCAATGCTACTTTTCCTTTCCCCCTCTCAAACCGAGATTTTATAGAACAAGCCAAGGCATACAGACATCTCTTGGCAAGATCTCTAAGGTAAAAGTATGCAGCCCTTTGACCACTTATTACGAAGCAGCCTACCTCAGCTTCAGGGTTGTCTCTCAGTAAAATCATCTACATATTTATAACCCTCACCAACTTTCATGATTGGAGTGCACCAGCGCCAAAAGCTTCTCTGGGGCAGCAGCTTCTGCTTCCTCCTCTTCCTCTTGAGCATCTGTGATGTCACGAATGATAATGGAGTCTTGGCAGTCTGGACTATGCTCCAAAAGGTCTGTCTAAGGGCACAAGAGTAACAAGCAGTGTATCCAAGACCCTTATCATAATTTTTCTTATTCAGACAATTGTTATTCTGGTAAAACTGTTTAATGCTCTGGCAATTGAGAATTCCCAGTGAAACTGAAATACATTATTTTTTAAAAAAATTAATAGCCATTATTAAGAGGGAATTTTATAACCAACTAAGCTAGAATTAATTTAGCATGAGCAGCTTTAAGAGGATCAAGGGGAAAAACAAAAGTAGATTGACATCTGAAATTAGAGAACAAGAGGATAAACAATTTTATAAAATTTGGGACCTTTTCTATCAATGGTTAGATAATAAAATACAGTAATGAAATATGTAGATTTTTAGAAAATAATAAATATATAAAGATGTACTTCTTTTTTATTATATCTACAAAATGTTTCTAGGATAAATTTGGGAGGATAATATGAATTCTTATAAAATAAACTAAGTAACTTATGGTTATCTCGTAAAATACGAATGAATAAAATTATAGTCAAATGATTAATAATACAGGGGTACTCAATTCTTGATTGATCATATGAGCTATTATGCAATGTAACTGTAACTGAAGACTACGAAATGGATGCACAAAATAATTTGTAAACCAACTGGCACACAGCTTGTATACTTATGGAAGAAAGTTTCATGTTTTTATGTTTTGTTTGTTTATGTTTGTTTTTAAAAACCAATAAAATTTACACACAAAAAAAGGAAAGAAAATAAGTCTTACGGTTTCACAGTCTTCCACGGGAATGCGCACGTACTGGCGGCTGTATTTTGCAGGTGAACCGTCTGATGCATCGGCCAAAGACCTGGGAGGAGACGAGCATAGAGAATTATGGAGGTGGACGGACAGATGAGCCACAAAGCTTTGTATGTGGAAACCGCACGCAATGGAAGCATTCTCCAGCAAGAAAATCATCCCCAGAGAAATGGCTTGGTCAAAACAAAAATAGGCTTTGATCAACTTGAATTTTTCACCTCTCAAATTTCTGAACAGTCGAAGAAAATAAATCCGCAGAGGGGATCTTCACTCCCGTTTAAAAAGAAACACATTAACATTTGAATTGGTTCTGAAGGATGCTTTTTAGACAAACTGATGAAATGTTCCTTTCAATGCAATGGTCTAAATGCGATTTCCTAATTTTGCTGTATATCTACCTTGATCTGGAAAGCAGCCCTGATGAGCCAAATATTGTTTACCCCTTTACAGCTACCGAACTGATTGGAAGATTACGGGATTTGACAAGAGTGAGCTTTGAAATCACAGCTGGAAATTCACAGCGTTTAGGAACCAACGTTTCAGAACAGTCAAGGCATAATCATTATTGAATTAAAATGGGCTGGTTTTTCCAAGGAACAGCTTTGCATCTGGAAAAAAGTATGGTCTCCAGCCAATAAATATGAGTGACAGAATCCAAGGCGACTCTTTCTTGTGTTCAAATGAAAAGGAAATCCTAATTTTCTAACGTGGGAAGTTCCTGCCGAGGAAAATGTATGTCAGCCATTTATTTTACGTGGAATGATGGACCACGTGCTTGTTCTGACCTAAGCTTCCCCAACAGCATGAAGCCAACGCGTCCCGATAACCACTTTTAGTTAGTTTACCGTGAATTCCTCTCCAGCAAAGTCCCGGCCAACAGTCTTTCCAGATATCACAATTACAGACCTTTATCAGACATGGAGAGTTGCCAGGCCGATATCTTTCAGATGCCACACTGTAGCAGACAATACTTGGCAAGAATGCAGGAACAGATCTTCGCTCAAATGAACTTATTGTCTCCCGCAAAAGCCCACTCCCCTTTCGCTCCAATTTAATTCCCTATGGGAGGGCCCATTCACCATCCACCTTTGGTTTTTACTCCCAAGTGGACCCTTGTTCCCTTGTGTTCCCAAGTGTTCCCTTCTTCTGGCAGCTCTGTGCATAAGCAGACTGGGAACAGGCTCCAGCTGTTCTTCTGCCTCACTGATGTCCAACTCTGAAGGCAGCTGTTAACTGGACAACAGCCCTGGCCCCATCTCTGCTTCCAACGCAGAGCCCTCGTCAGAGCCTTCCACAGACTCCAGGATTGGCCCATGTTCCTCCCCAACCTCCTCACTGTCCAGATCTGCTGCCAGCTCCGCTAGGCACTGGCAGGCCACAACAGTGCTTTCCAAATGTTCCTACCCCTTTTTAGAACACCCCACTAGTTATAATCATCCAAAATGATTTTTTTTTCTGTGCATATGAATTTTTAAAAAAAGAACACGAGTTCAACATATGGATGCAATTGGCTGAACATTCCCAATTGGAAGAAGGCACTGGCTGGGGCCCGGATTTGCAAACTGAAGAATCCCACTGAAATGAGCTTTAAACCTTTGATTAGCTTTAATTAGCTCGAAAACTTCAAATCCTTCTGCATAATTTCCTCAGTAAGGGAAGTATAGATAGTCCTTGACTTACAACAGTTCATTTAGTGACCGTTCGAAGTTACAACAGGAATGAAAAAAGTGACTTATGGCTGTTCTTCACCCTTATGACTGTTGTCATACGATAGTTGTCATCCCCATAGTCACATGATCAAAATTCAGCCACCTGGCAACTGACTCATCTTTATGACGGTCGTCGTGTCCTGTGATCATGTGATCCCCTTTTGTGACCTTCTGACTAGCAAAGTCAGCGGGGAAGCCAGATTCACTGAACAAAGGTGTTACTGACTTAACAACTTCAGTGTTTCACTTAACGGTGGCGATAAAGTAGCACCTAGCACTAGCAGTAGCCCTTAGACTTATATAGTGCTGCACAGTGCTTCACAGCCCTCTCTAAGCACTTTACAGTCAGCCCATTTCTTCCAACAATCTGGCTCCTCATTTTACCCACCTCAGAAAGACGGAAGGCTGAGTCAACCTTGAGCCGGTGAGATCCAAACTGCCAGACTGCTGGCAGCCAGCGATCAGCAGAAGTAGCCTGCAGTACTGCACTCCAACCACTGTGCCACCGCAGCTCAGCAGAAGCCGTAATGGGGCAAAACTCCCTTAACAAATATTCCACTTAACAGAAATGATGTGCTCAATTGTGGTCATAAGTCGTGGACTACCTGTACGGAATGGGTCCGTGCAATGTGCGTCTCTGAAGTCAAAGACCTGGAAGAGATACAGCCATGGAAGAGCACCCCTGGCCTGCTCAGGGTTCGTGTTTCAGCTGCCCGCCATCTTCACCTGATGCTAAGAAGAAAAACCCAACCCACAAAAGCTGCCAGCTCTTTTTGAGTCTTTTTCCTGGTACGAGAAACGCCTGGCAGATGTAGGAGGTGTCAGAAAGAAGTCAAGCGCTTGGCATGCTCACATCGAACCATAAGCAGGCGCTATGCCCCGAGACGCCACTAATATAGTACCTAAAAATGCCTTAACACGAGGAAGAATAATGCTCACCCAGAGGCCATGCAGAAAGAGGCAAAGCAGTCGGAATTAGGAGCAGGATGAAGGAAACAATATTTTGGAGTCATTTCAACGGTGCCATTTGTATCCCCTTAACAAAGAGGCAGGAGCTCCACAGAGTTTAAGAACGCTTTTCTCTCCTCAGTATGGGGGTCAAAACTTGAATCAGAATCTCATTTTGAATAGCAACAGAACCAAAAAAAGTGAGCAATTACCTTTTTCTCTTGACCCCCAAAATGCAGTTTCCTCTCATTAAACCCAGTATAAATTCAAGAATCTGAAAGAAGAGGGGGAAAAGGAATGATCTTCTCTCATTCTCAACCATCACAACCTCAAAATTAAGCACAAGAACGATATTCAGCAGTGCAAACTAGAACTAGCAAAGATTTTAAAAATGTTTCATAAAATTTTGCCTTCGGCTCATACCTCCTTCAAATAAATAACACAAACACACTACATGTATGCACACACAAACTTACATGCTGTTACAATATCACAGACAATTTTACGTAAGATTTAAGTCTACACAACCGATTTTAAAAACCCCATCACTCACAATTACCATATATCCTCAAGGAATAAGTAAAGCTTCTACTAGCAGTTGAACATTCCACCGTGTATTTATTTGCTAGATATATATCCCATCTTTTATCTGAGTTGGTTTATTTAAGGATCCTTCTCCACCTTATACCCCTAAGAATGTGTCTGTGAGGGAGGTAAGGGAATGTATGTTGAGGGACCCTAATGCTGAGGGTGAACTTGAGCTTCACATTCGCTGCTCCTGGTCCAAGACATTAACCAGTGCAACGATTTGCCTTTATTGTAATAAAATTTAAGGACTGAGCTAATAATACATGGACTGAATCACCCTACATACCATCAGATCAGAAGCAACTGTGTTAAGGGAGCAATGGATCACATTGGCAACATCCTTGCTACTATTTCCCCAATGTCAACAAACAAACCTGCTCCAGATCTGGGGCCCTCTGCAATTCTCTCAGGTGCATCCACCTGTTGCACCAGAGAGTATTCCCAATTACAGGACCCAATCCAGCAGGTTTCCTCCACGAGATATCTTCCCTCGGTGCAATTTTTCCTCAAGGATAGTTGCTATAAAGACATTCAAAGCTGCTCCGTCTTTTCCCTCCATCTATCTTTGACAGTGGCGTCTCTGAATGTTGAATAAACCTGGACACAGGGAGTCATTCGATGCAATTGTTCTGCAAAATACTCTAAAAGCCCTTTCAACTAAGATCAGCATAAAGGCAATTTAAATAATTGATCAACCTCTAGGAGTTTCACCCCCACAGGGATTTAACTACTTCTGATCTTCCTTGCCACTCAGGATGCAACAGAAACGTAATTCTGTTCACTGAACTCTTAGTTCCTACGTTCCTTCCAATTCTCTGATCAGGCCCCTGTCTTTACCTGACTCAGAATAAAAAATAAAATAAAAAGCTTATTTTTGCCCTGTGCGTGAATCACGTTGTGGGAAGTTTTCTTACACATTCAGAGATTGACTGGATGCATTCAGCCTGAACCAAGGTGCAGAGAAGAATATTAGGTTATAGGGTGATTCACTGTGCTGTAAACCACAGCTTTTTGCAACCAACAAAATTTGCCTGCAATTCAGGGTTAGGATCCTGAGCAACTGATCTACTGATTCCTGAAGGCAGCATTCCGACCGGGTCCTCTCCTGCCATCAAGGGGGAACCCCAGGTGAGGGGCGGCTGCTCTGGAGAGAGGAGAGGAGAGGAGAGGAAGGAGAGGAGAGGAGGGGAGAGGAGAGGAGAGGAGAGGGGAGGGGAGGGGAGAGAGAGGAGAGGGAGGAGAGGAGAGGAGAGAGAGGAGAGGAGAGGAGAGGAGAGGGGAGAGGAGAGGAGAGGAGACAGGAGGGGAGGAGAGGAGAGGGAGGGGGAGAGGACCAAGCAAAGGCCGGACTATTCTCAGTACCTTCGACAGGAGCTGCTGCTGCTGGTTGTGCTTCTGGCGGAGGCAGGCCACCTCTTTCCAGAGGGCTTTGTTTTCCCTGGAAACAAGGAGCGGAAAGAGGCAAGATGGTGAAAGTGAGCAACTTCCAAGGGTTCAGGCTAGTCCGGCGGAGACTTTTGCAAGAAGATTTGGGTTGCTGCACTTCAGGAAAGGGGGGGATGTGTGGGAGGAGGAGGGGGGGACTAACCAGTTTTTCACTCCAAAAGACCCGGAATGGAAAAGGAGATGCCACGACTTCGCGCGACTTTCCCCTGGGATCTGGTGGGGCAACGAAGAAGCTTTTCCTGAAGTGATGTGAGGAAGGGGTTCCCCTAATCATGTTTGAACTACAGTAACTGACACGGTTCGGGAGAAGGGCTTTCCTCAGCTCTGCTCCATGAGATCCTTTAAACGGAGACTCGGGAGGCCAAAGTCACAAGAGATCCCTGCTCAGGGGCAAAATACGGGTCCTGCAGACAAAAAGCCATCAGCATTTCCAAGAATGGTTTCTTTGAAAGGGGACAGGCAGAAACGTTTTGTATCTGCAGACATTAAGGGGTTAGACAGCCTATCAGTCCAGCCCTTCATCGGGAAGCTTTTTCTGGACTTAGGTCGCCTTCTGCTCTCCCAATGACTATGGATCTTTTCGCATCCCAACTAGACCATTGTTAATTAAAACATCAAAGGACAACAGTTAAGACTTGCAGGTGAGTAAAATCTCAGATAAAATTCTGAAGCTGGGCAGGCCAACTCAGCAACCAGCAGGAACAAGATCTTTGGGGACAGAGGACAAGAAAAAGGATCGATCTTCCTCCTAGATTTGCAATTATTAGCAGCTACGATAGCAAGATCCATAGTATAATGTTTGTTGTTGGAACAGAAGGTCATCCAGGATGCCAACAGGGCCACCATTTTGTACTTGGGCAAACCATGCATTCTATCTGCAGCTCTATAGTTTGTGGGGGGGACAGGACGGTGGGGACACGGACTCCTCTCATGATTTGCCTCTTAATACTTGCTCATGGTGCCTTCATGGTGCTGCACCTTTTCATACTTTCCAGCTTGATGTCCATGCTGTTCTGTTGCTCCCTCATCTCCTGGACTTCTGATAACACTTTGTGCAAGTCATCTGGGCAGATTTTTAGATCTTCCGGCCTTACCGTGGCCACCTGGTGAGAGAGTAGACTGAAGATGATAAGATGAAACATGACGAGAAACAAACGCGACCAAAATTTGACTCATACGGAATGAAGACGCTGAAGACACTCAACCTTCTCCTTGCCGATCATAGATGATAATCCAAAGATGTGGTTTATGCCCACTCAGGAATAGCAACCTGGGCACTCACCTACCCCAGTGTATCAGAATTGTCCTGAGAAAGCAGGATTGCAACATCCCACAAAGAAAAACACTGACACATGTGTAAAAGGAACAGCTAAATCTCAGAAGTCTATGCCACCTCTGACACTGCTGGTCTTACGGCTGGTCAATTTTGGTATAATATTCGTATCATTGTTCGTATGATTTTTATTTAGAGGTTTGTCCTTACTGTATTTGGAATATATTTTCTTAAAAAGATAACGCTGAGTTGTCAAAAAGCATCCACTGAAGAAATTTGTTCATGCTCACAGTTTGAGTGAAAGTCATAGTGGCATCATCACTATGATCCTGCACAGGAAACATCTGATTTGTGGCTTAAAAGCTAAGTTGTTTTTATATAATATGTGAGGTTTTATTTTTCTTTTATTGGTTTTTGAAATATATAGTTATGCAGAAAGTATATGACTGTAATTACATTTTGTAGCTGGCTGTTCAGCCTCCACAGCGCCAGAATTTTGCAAGTAACTCAGCATTTTACCCATTAGAAAAAGAATTAGCACGGATGAAAAACATCAGAGCCAAGACTCCTTCCGCTCAAGACCAGCTCAACCTCTGGAGACTTCATGAACCCGCTTGTACGCAAGCGGCCTTGCCTTGGCCTTCTTCTACATTAGCTTTTCATCCGTCCAAGTACTAAAGAGATTCAGCCCTGCTTAAGTTTGGGGGTGTGTGTGGACTTTTTAGGGGGGAGGGGAGATCCACCAAGGTCCAATCCAGTTTTGCTCATAATGCTTTAAACCAGGGGTGTCAAACTCACGCCGTCCTGGCGGCGCCACGTGACGTATCGGGACTTTTTCGCCCTTCGCTAAACCAGGCGTGGGCCTGGCCAGCGCATGACGCATCTGGCCAGCAGGCCGGGAGTTGGACAGGCCCTGTTTTAAACAGAGAGAGGCCCAGGTAACCTGTGATCATATTGAACCGAGAAGTTTTAACCAGGTTCTATTCTAGGAGACAGTACCTTCCTTTTGATGTTTGCCAGCAAATCAAACTGCCCTCTCTTGAAAAACGGATGCTGAAATTCAATGGCAGAATTCTTGTCACACGTTATCATGCCATTTTCAAGTGCAATCACTTTCCTGAAGCCATCTGTAACAACATCAGAGGAAATTAAATGTGTTTGTGTCTCCGAGAAGCTCACTTTCATTCAAACACTTGGCTTTTCTTTTATCTAGGTGCAAACTGGCCACTCAAAAGGAGAGTTACAGTGGTCCATATGCTGATATGACAAAAACATTTCCTTTCTTCCTTCTTCAAAGGGAAGATATCAATGTGATAACAGACCAAAAGAACAGCAAAATCTGGATACCAACAGGGCAAAGTCAAGGGATGGAAGGTGCGTATTTCTTACAAGATTCTTTTTCGAGTTTTTGAAACTGGAAGGACTAAGTCAGATGCTCTGCAGACTGAGCTACGTCAAGGATGGCTAGCCTTTCCCATGCTGCGTGCCAAAAGTGCGCGTGCGTGCCTGCACCCATGATGCAATGTGCGCGTGACTCCCCCCCCCAGCCCCCTGCGCACACGACCCCCGCACTGCACACTTCTGTGCATAAAACCCCCGTGCGCCGCATGCCTCTGCACATGCGCACGTGTCTCCCATGTGCGCATCTTCCCCCGCACATGCGCATAGATACCTGACAATCAGTTGGCTGGCGGCGGCACGCGCATGCGCAACGGGGCTCTTCCCGGCGACCTCTCGTGTGCCTGCAGGAGTGGCTCTGCAGGCCACTCCCGGCACATGTGCCATAGATTGGCCATCACGGAGCCACGTTATTTAGTGTCCACAATCCCACTCAGTGAATGCAGCAAAGAAAGACCCCTGGGCCCTTCTGTTTCCAAAAGTATAATTTATCGTGCAGATACAGATGTGGAAGTAGAGAAGCCAGCTCTCTAATGGCTTCATGAGTAAACACCATAGTTAAAGATCCCCTTCTTTTTCCTGGCCCTCCCATGGTTATATTTGACATTTTTTTAATCAATATTCAACTTCCCCTTTTCAGCTAAGGTTGTTAAGGAAGTGGTGAGAACTCAGCTTCCAAGGGACCCCTGATGGTGGAGATCTTTCTAGAATTGAGGGACACATTGTGGCTGACAAGGGCATTTAAATGGGCTGTCAAAATCTCTCTGGAATAAAAAAAGAGATTGCAAGATTACCCATCTGTACTCCCAGACAGTTTGTTTGTGTGTGTGTGTGTGTGTGTGTGTGTGAACACAACAGGAACTATGTTTTTCTGATTGACTGGAACTTATGGGATTTCAATGTGCTTATAGCTGCTGTTAGTCTGTAAAGATTCTCAGTCATCCAGGTCCTGGTTGTCCCAAAAGTGCTTTTTCTAGAAGCAACTGGGCTTTCTTATTTTTTTCTTTGAAGACATTTCACTCCTCATCCAAGAAGCATCTTTAGCTCTGACTGGATGGTGGGGAATGGAAGGATTTTATGACAGTTGGTCATTTGCATCCAAGGACCACAGTGTGTCCCGCTCTCGGGAAGGAATAAAAAAGTTTTTCCAATGAATTTTAATTCACTACTGTTTATTATTAGAAAATCATTCAAAATTTAACCTATTCTTACAAAAGAACCAGGAACTGGAATATATAAATCCTCTTAATTTAAATGTGTATTTCTAAAAAAAATCTTGCTTTGTGTCGAAGAAAATTTCAATTCAAACATTGTAATTTTTATTCCTAATTGTTATTTCATTGCCTCATCAAATTCCAGGGAGAAAAAAAATGTACTTACAAAAATGTAAAATCTACTTACTTAAAAAACTTAGACAGGTTAACAGAGTTGGAAGGGACCTTGTAGGTCATCCAGTCCAACCCCCCGCCCCCAAAGCAGGAGACCCTACATCTTTTCTGACAGATGGCAGTCCATTCTCTTCCTGAAAACTTCCAGTGATGAAGCTCCCAGAACTTCTGAAGGCAACTTCTGTTCCATTGGTTGATTGCTCTCACTGTCGGAAAATTTCATCTTATTTTCAAATTGAATCTCTCCTTGTTCAGTTTCCATCCATTATTCCTTGTCTGGCCTTCAGGTGCTTTGGAAAATAGCTTGACCCCCTTCCTCCTCTCTGTGGCAGCCCCTCAAATATTGCAACGCTGCTATCATGTCTCCCCTGGTTCTTTTCTTCACGAGACTAGCCGTGTCCATTGTAATTCAGTACTGTTTATTATTAGAAAAATGTAACCTATTCTTGCAAAAGAACCAAGAATTTTCTTCACTAGACTAGTTATGTATATTTAATTCAATAGTTTTATTATTAGAAAATCATTCAAAATTTAACCTATTCTTGCAACCGTTCATCGTATGTTTTACCCTCCAGTCCCTAATCATCCTGGTTGCTCTTCTCTGCAATCTTTCCAAAGTCTCAACATCTTTTTTATAGTGTGGTGTGGTGACCAAAACTGGATGCGGTACTCTAGGTGTGGTCTTACTAAGGCTTTATAGAGTGGTATTAGTACTTCACTTGATCTTGATTGTATCACTCTGTTAATGCAACTTAGGATTGCATCGGCGGCTGCTGCACACTGTTGCCCCATATTTGGCTGGTTGTCCACTAAGACTCCAAGATCCCTCTCACAGTCACTGCTACTGAGCCTGGTTTCAGTATGGCTACCATGTATTTACAAGGTATGAATTGCTATTCCTGAGTCCCTGTCTTCACTCTCTCCTGATCCAGGAAAGGAAGGAGGCGGCTGGCATACCAGCCAAGCCTGCCCACAGCTTCCACTTGTCTCTCTAGCCGGAGCCCCAAATCCAAGAAGGACCCCCAGATTGGAAACCTGGTCCTTCTCAGAGCCTCCCTGGAGCCCAAGGAAACTCACAGCAACTCCGTCGAAGTCTGCTCCACCCCAACCAGCCCTTTACAATCTCCAGGACTTCCAGAGCATCTTGTTCTGCCACAGGATGGAAAGCTGAGTGTGATCAGCACACTGCACTAATAACATCAAGCCCCAAACCAAAGATGGCCCTCTCCGATTATTGAGAGTGAGCAAGGCCCATCAGATTCTCTTTCAGGGCTTCCTCTGTCTTTTGAAAGATACGTCACCACCAACTGAAGGTCTCCTACATTCTTTTCCTCTCTCTTTGGGGCTGGAGGTTTTATACCAGTCTCTTGCCAAGAATCTGCTGGTCAATTATTTATTTATTCTCCTTTATCTCTGAGACCTCAAGATGACTGACATACGGGACTTTGTACTTTTCTGTCGTACCATAACAGAATAACTGACCCAAAACTGCACGACGAACTCCACAGCCAAGCAGGTATTTCAAGCCAAGCTTCTGAAATACACGTTGCTAAAGGTACATCTGCCTTAGAACACACTGCACTTTGCCTTGCATAGCAATAGCTACAGCATTTAGACTTATATACCACTTCAAGGTGCTTTACAGCCCACTCTAAGCTGTTTACTGTGAGCCGGTGAGACTCAAACTGCCAAACTGCAGGCAGTTGGCAGTCAGCAGATGTCGCCTGCACTACTGCATGCTCACCACTGCACCACCACAGCATACCTATGTCAGACAT